GCCCTCCTGAGGCACAGACTTCCTTTCCTCTGGCTGGGGATGGGGCTGCTAACTCCTGCCAGCTTCATTGTGGGCTTGAGAGATTAGCCTAACCGTTTCAGATGACCTGGAAGAAGAGAGACCAGATGACAGGTGCAGAGTGATCCAAGTGTGAGTGGACGAAGACTCAAACCACAGTGACCACAGGCAGAAGGGAGCAGGGAGCAAGTCAGAGAATGGTTTCATTTATTTTTGGTTCTCAGGGAAGGAGGAGGAGCTAAAGGGGGAATTCAGACTTCCAGTTCTGAAAAACAGCTGCAGTGCCTGCAGGAACAGGAGCGTGTAGTGGGAAAGCAGTTCTGAGGGCGAGGCAAAGGGGCACTGAGGTCAAGAAGGCCCTGTTCTGGAGGTCTTGAGTATGAGGGAACGGAGTTGGTGAGCATTGTTGGCACAGGCAGAGACATCAGGACATGATGGCCACTGTGGTCCCAGTCAGCTGAGAAGGTGGAGCCTCCCTTGGGGGACACGTAGGAAGAAGAGAGCAGAGGGCCACAGCGCTGGGCGTGGGCTGGGGACAGGGAAGAATTGGAAATTGACTGGAGAAAGTGGCCTGGGAAGGGAGAGGATCAGAATTCCAGGAACCAGGGCTGCACCTGAGGACATGACAGGGACAGATCTGTGGGAGAAATGCCAGAGTCCTCTCTGGCCCCCCTGCAAGTGATATCTTTCATCTGTCATCTACCCTACCAGCTTGACTTCATCATAATCAGTTTTTGCTTGGATTATTGCACCATGGAGAGTTTTTTGCCAAACTGGGTTCTGTGTCAATTTCATATCTGAAGTCCGGTGTGACACTGAATGTGTCTTTTGCATTTTAAAGCCATTTCTTTTCCATTAGGAATAAACATAAGGAATGGCATACTCTCGAATCCAGGCAAGGACTTTATTCCACCAAATCCATGGTCCAGTTCTGGTTTGTCTGGAAAATCTTCAGGGACAGTGTCTGTAATCAGCAAAGTAAATTCAGGTGAGTAATGATGTTAACTCCTAGGTGACAAAAAGCAAATTCCCTGGATGCAGCAAGATGGGCAGAGAGCCATGACCAAGCTGCGGGACACGAGGGCCTTTCTGGTGTGACAGCCCTTCCTCTTTTCCAGCCCTACCCCCTTCTGTCTTTCTCAGCAGCAGGCCTTGGGGACTTAGCCAGCCCCTAAGGCTGGCTTTACAGCAGAGCGTAGTCTTCCCTGGCTCAAAGGAAAAACAAAACTAACCCTAGGACTCTGAGCTGGCCTGAAGGCTGAAGCCCTGGCTGCACCTTGGCTACAACTACCCTCTTCTAGATTTACCTGGTGTCTGATGACCCAGCCTCAGGCCAGGGCATCAGAATTCCTTCTAGTTGGAAGGTGCACAGTCTGGAATGCCCCCCTGCCCCCTTGTTAAACCGGTGAATGAATTTCCCAAGTGTTCCAGGCTAACCTGTGTCTGTGTCATCTTTCCCTCACACGGGGAGCCCAGTCACATGCTGCATTCCCTTCCACACTGTCCAGGGAACACCTGAGCTTCACTTCTCCCACGTGCACTCATTTAGGTTTTGTTTCTTTTAAGGGATACAAAAAAAGAAAGAATATATCAACACCCATGTAGCCACCCCCTCCCCCACCACAAAGTTTGCAGATACAGAAAGCCCAGTGTCTAGGCCTTTCCCTTCCCTACCTCCCTCTTCCCACCCCCCCCATCCTGATTTTCCTATGCATTTTTATGTTTATTATGCCTATGCATTTTTAAAAATATGTATGAAGTTCATAATGTGGTTTCGCATGTTTTAAAATTTATGTGAACATAATCTGGATCTCTACTTCACTCTTTTACTAAATATATTTGTGTGGCAATTAGACATATATATGCTATATAGCATATATGATGTACATAACCATGTAATAACATAATTTATTATTTATATAGATCATAATTTACTTATTCCTTCTTTTCTTGACAAACACATAAGTTGTCTGTGATTTTTGCCATAAGAAAGAGTGATGAGGCCAGGCTCGGTGGCTCAGCCTGTAATCCCAGCACTTTGGGAGGCCGAGGCGAGTGGATTGCCTGAGTCCACGGGCTCGAGACCAGTCTGGGCAACTTGGCAAGACCTCGTCTCTACAACAGATAAAAAATAAGCCGGGCATGGTAGTGCACGCCTATAGTTCTGGCTACTTGGAAGGCTGAAGCAGAAGGATCGCTAGAGCCCAGCAGGTCAATGCTGGGGTAGCTGTGAGTGTGCCACTGCACTCCAGTCTGGGCGACGGAGTGAGACTCCAACTCAAAAAAAAAAAAGAAAGAGTGCTGAAATGCACTTGATTGTACTCAGTTGTCGTACACATGTTTAGGGGTTTCTCCAGGCGTAGTAACTAAGAGGAAACGTTTGCGTTCAAGCATGTGCTTATCTTCAACTTCGCACATACTGTCAAATTGCTCCCCAGCAGAGTGTGAGAGTTGTGCTGCATCCTTGATGCCACTCAGTTCTGTCAGGACTCAAATCTGTGCTAATCTAATGGGTGTGAACCGGTATCTTATTGTAGTTTAAACTTGCATGTCCTGTCTGCTAATGAGGTTCATAGTCTTGTATTTATTGATTATAGATTTTTTTCTTTTCTGTCACTTCAAATGATCTTCCCATTTTTCTTCATAAGTCCTCATTCATCAAAGAGCAAAATGCACTTCAGCCGACACCAGCACTCCTCACACATGCATTCAAGACCGTGTTTCCCACTCTGCCTTAAACCATGCGAAGAACACTCTGTGTTGTGAAGACACAGCAACTGTGTCACTGACTGACTTGTCTAATGGGTGGAACTTCTGTTTGTATAATGGCCAATCACAGCATTATTCCTTGTGCACCTTTAAGCCTTAAAAATAAACACCATAGATATTCATTTACCCATCCAATATTAATGGATTATCTGCTCCATGCGAAGCATTCCATTAACCTCCTGGAATACAAAGATGAGTAACTTACAGTCCCTGCCCTTGAAGTACTCTCAAACGAAAATGACATCAAAAGTGACTGTATTTAATATTTTTAAATAATGATTAATTTTTCTGATTGTGATATGTTTCATGTATAATTATTTGTAATAATTAAGTCATTAAGGTAGCCTGTGTGTTGATCAGTAAGAAGATGATTGTGTGAATTATGGTTTCACATACTCTAGAATTTGTATATACTGACAGAGAAGGATAACTCTTCTGTATTACAGAGCAAAAAAAGCAAATTTCAGAACTAGCTAAAGCTATTTTTACAAAGAATAAGAATGTCAGATTTCTCTTTTAAAAAAATTTAAACAACAACCCTCTATTTGGTTGCTGTCTACAGGAGCCAGTACTGTCTTCACCCCTCTAGTTTTTCTGACGATGTGGCATGGTGGACTGCTCTGTTCAGAATTCACTGTTTTCATCATAATTATTTTTTCCCATAAAAGTAAAAATGCAATTCTTTATTGCTCTACAATGCTAGTTTTGTCTTCTAATGTTTGTTTATTTGTTTTTATTTGTTTTATTTTTTATTTTTTTGAGTTGGAGCTTCACTCTGTCACCCAGACTGGAGTGCAGTGACCGCTCCCGGCCACCGCAGCCTCGACCTGCTGGGCTCCAGCGATCCTTCCACCTCAGCCTTCCAAGTAGCCGGAATTA